TATTCTCTATTTTTTTTTTTTTTTCCTTTTAATCAAAGTTGTCGTTGTGCGATATACAAAAATTATCATGTTCCAGAATAAATGGTTGATTTAAAATAGATATTTCGCTCTATACACGCGAAAATCGTGACATTTCGTTTCAGCGCGCGACGAAGCGCGCTTTAATTTTTAATTACGAGAACGAAAACCCAGTTCTCGTTTTAGTTCCTGACATACATCAATGTTTCAGTAGATGGACAAACAACTTCATCGCGGTAATTATATTTTGACGGAATAAAATACACGCATTCATCGAAAAACTTTTTATAGAAGCATTTAAACCAAATTTATATTTAAAATATATTATCGTGATAAAATAATATATTTTTGTCATACACTAGATTAATACAACATCCCAAGACAATGCCGATATAAAAGAAAATGTCAACGTCCTTACACAGCCTCGTCCTCGAACAACCTTAGCACTTTAAATTGAGCAAAATTGTCGGATATGCACGCACATATACGAAAAACTATGATAGTATTTTATAGGCGAAGTTAATCCGCGTTCTAATACTTTATTATTGTCATTACTCTCAAAATGATTATACTCTCAAAATTTTACTAATAAGTCACAATTTCCCGAAATTTTTTTGTAAATAAATTATGGTATGCATGTGATATTATGAATTATGTGATATTATTACTTTCGATTGAGATTTATATGTGTGTGATTCGTAATGAATATAAGTTTAGTTATATATGTGTAAATAGATCTGAGATATAATATATATTTGTGTGTATAGATTAGCGATTTATATTTTTGTTGAATTATTTTCAATCACTGCTAGCTCTACCATAGTATCGCTTCTTTTAGTTATATTTCTTTTTACATTTCCTGTATTTAAAATAAAACGAGTATATATTTACACATGCTCGAAAAAAAAAGAAAAATAAGTATATCAAATGCAACTAAAAAGAATATATCTATAATTAAACAATCTTTAGTAACCAAATTGCGTAACTCTTTATCACTAATTGTTAAATAATATACGATTAAATAATATTTATTTTTTTTACTCGATATGTCATTTAATCATACCAGAAGCTCTAGAAATTTCTGAACGAAGGATATATATTCTCGATATACCTGACAAAAATTAACAAAAAACATCACAATAAAGCTATATCAAACGAAACGAGCGTGAAATACTATTTACATCCTCTTATTATAACGTGATTTATTCAATGCTCTGGGATAAATCCTTTGAAGAGTAAAATATTACAAATAAAAATTGTGGTCAATAGGTAATAGTTGTCATTAGAGAAATTAATGATTCTACAAATAACTAACATAAAATGTGTCGTAGAATATATTCCAATCGCAAAAAATTAAAATTCTAAATTCTAGATTCGTTATTGAAACTCTATATCAGATTCCAATGGTATAACTCCTTATTCCAGCATAATATAAAAAGAACTTGCCTTGAACTCGCTGATTTTGCTTGAATCGCGGATTTCAGGAATGGAATATTATTTTTTTAATCCTGTATGTATGTGTATATATGTGTCTACACACTGAATAATCTTTTGTGCAACTTTTTCCAAGGTTCCTACACGAAAGCACAAACATTAATCAAAATTCAGCCTTCAAAATATATAATGTAACACATAGAGAGAGAGAGAGAGAGAGAGAGAGAGAGAGAGAGAGAATTACATACACACACATACACGCACGCACGCACGCACGCACGCACGCACATATAAATATAAAGTTATATCTTGACATAGCAGAAACATTCTGTCAACATCATCATACCGAAAGAAAGAAAGAAAGGAATTCACTGAATTAATTAAATCCATGGCAAGCTCATCATTACATAATTTATACAGTTGAGTACTTGCTTACACCATATTTTATCCGTCTTCAAATGTGAATTAAAATATAGAAAAAAATTCATCTTCTTTGCATTTTAAGCTTCTATACATATAATAAACCATATAATAAACTATAACTACAGACTACTTTTGAGTTGGCTGATTGTACGTTATAGGAACATGAGTACAGGAAGCAAGAAAATATCAGGAAGATGAATGTCATGTACGTTCAATAAATATTTCTTTTTTGAGATGTTTAAAATGAAGACTGCATCACGTTTTTCAATCAGGAACGTATATATATATATGATTGAAACACGTGATGAGAAAGAGAGAGAGAGAGAGAGAAAGAAATAGAAAGAAAAAAATACAAAACAAATCTTGAAAACATATGTAAAATAAAATATTTTTTGTTAAATTTTTATTTTTTGTAATTTTATTGCACAATATAATATGCGGCTTCATTGAAAGAATTAGAGGAAATCTTAACTGATATCCTTTTAACTTTTGATATCTTTTAATCCTAATTTGCATTTTTTTATTAAATTAACATCACATTATCAAGATACAATATGAGTGACTCTTTAAGAATATAAATAAAACTGTGTTACACGAGAAGCTTATATTTTCTGCTTACATTTTCTAAAAGTGTCTACGCGTAACCGCGTCGCGAAGATCGAGTTGCAACGATACCGCGTTACATACAACAAGCTCTCTACCTCGAATAGACCATACGATACTAACGAAGTGTCTCACAGGCCGAGGATGAAAGCGAGACGGGCAGAGTCGAAAGACGCAAAAGACCTCGACGATGAGCGTTCCCCTTCGACGAACCGAGAACATGAACTCTTCCGTAAACGTCAGGTAAAAAGGAAAAGGAGCATCTGCTTTGTACTCAAGCCGCGGAAACCAATCCTATCTTTTACGTAAGGTCCGACCATCTATCTCGACAAAAAGAAGAACTCGAAGAAGAATCATAAACGGAGATACCGTTCTTCGTTTAACTGCTTAAAGTGCAAGGTGAAGGATACACTCCGTTGAATACTTCGTCGATTGGATCTACCGCATTTGATAGCATTTATGTCTGATTGCAGTGTGTCTCGGAAAACTAGTTTCTTGGGAAATCGACGGCGAACCGATATGTAGTTCTTCGTCGTCGTCTTGGCGAGCGTCTCGCGACTGGCTCAATGTAGCAATTATTGGTGTTTACGGCCTCGACGGAGGAACTAGCTTAATTGAAGAATTAGTTTAGGAACGGGAACGCTTGACTCACGCTCGCGCTCCCGGGAGGAGCTCGAGAAACACGTTCAGGATCGTGTCTCGTGTGTAATCGGGAGCTTTACGCGCTCGAGGAACATCGGAAATATCAAGACGCCGAGAGTAACGACGATGAATCTCTTAGGTAAGTACTTTACGAGACATATAAGTGATTGTTTCAGTGAACACTGAATAACATAAAATGTTAAATTTTGCGAAAAAAAATATAAAAAAACAAGTAGAGTTGTGCAAATTAGAAACTTGCACATTGCTTCCTCATCATTTTATCTTACAATGCTTAAGCTGCTTTAAGCATGCGGATTTTTCAATTTTTGCTTCCTCATAGAGAAAGCTTTGTGAGCAAAATAAAAATTAAAATAATTTCTTTCACCGATCCTCACTAAATTCAACATCAAACATCCTTTAATAATACATATAAAGAGAGAATAGAGAGATAATAATAATTTTGCGAAACTTTAGTTATCTACAATAACTTGTTTTTCTACGGAAAACATTGAATCTACGCTTCTTCCGCTTCTTGGCGTATTATGATACGTTCGATAGTTCTTTATGCACGACTGTAAGTAGGTTAAGACGCAGTACAACTATATCATATTGCCACAAAACTCGGAGTTATGGATTGTTGAAGTATTATATACCTATATAATCTATCAACACTCTTATACATGCAAAACAAACAAAATTGAACTTAGACAATTGACTGATGATTGATTGATCGATATTATCTTTCTTCTAAATGTTGGATATGTACTTAATTAAATGATTATATGTGTATCATTAAGTAATACAAATTTTTTTTAAATTCGTATTATATTTTACGGTCTTATATACTGAATATCGACGGTTATCAATATAGATATAATTGTTGTAAAAAACATTTATTTAAATTACTCTTCCTGCCGGAGTTAAATTATTTAATGTTATACATAATATTGACACAGCATCATAATTATGAAATTGAAAAAGATCTGTGACTGTGTAAACATTAAATATAGTATTAATATAGAATATTAATTGCATCCTTTGAATCGATTTATTTTCTCCATATAAATCGTACTTACCTTGCACCTGTACTAAACAGCAAGGGAAAGAAGCAGGAAGGGAATATCAAGGTTTACAGGAAAGATTATTCCTTGCAAAATCAATTACCTGCAAATAAAAAAGATTTGGCATAACTATTTAATTAATTTATTTGCATTTATCGTAATCACTCGTAAAAGTAACAGGGATACGTAAACAATTAGTTCGAATTAGCTTAGATACAAACAGTCTAAAACACATCTTTTCTATTTCACAAAGCTTCCTCTATGAGGAAGCAATATTACAAAAAGATGAGAGTAATATATATTAAAATATATGAGAATATATGTATATGTATATCTGTATATATGCATGTTTGTGTGTGTGTATGTATGTGAGAGAATTATTACTGTATACTGTATTATAAAAATTATATATATTACTATATTTTCTCATACATTATATTATATTATATATAAAAATATTATATAAAGAGAGAATAGAGAGATAATAATAATTTTGCGAAACTTTAGTTATCTACAATAACTTGTTTTTCTACGGAAAACATTGAATCTACGCTTCTTCCGCTTCTTGGCGTATTATGATACGTTCGATAGTTCTTTATGCACGACTGTAAGTAGGTTAAGACGCAGTACAACTATATCATATTGCCACAAAACTCGGAGTTATGGATTGTTGAAGTATTATATACCTATATAATCTATCAACACTCTTATACATGCAAAACAAACAAAATTGAACTTAGACAATTGACTGATGATTGATTGATCGATATTATCTTTCTTCTAAATGTTGGATATGTACTTAATTAAATGATTATATGTGTATCATTAAGTAATACAAATTTTTTTTAAATTCGTATTATATTTTACGGTCTTATATACTGAATATCGACGGTTATCAATATAGATATAATTGTTGTAAAAAACATTTATTTAAATTACTCTTCCTGCCGGAGTTAAATTATTTAATGTTATACATAATATTGACACAGCATCATAATTATGAAATTGAAAAAGATCTGTGACTGTGTAAACATTAAATATAGTATTAATATAGAATATTAATTGCATCCTTTGAATCGATTTATTTTCTCCATATAAATCGTACTTACCTTGCACCTGTACTAAACAGCAAGGGAAAGAAGCAGGAAGGGAATATCAAGGTTTACAGGAAAGATTATTCCTTGCAAAATCAATTACCTGCAAATAAAAAAGATTTGGCATAACTATTTAATTAATTTATTTGCATTTATCGTAATCACTCGTAAAAGTAACAGGGATACGTAAACAATTAGTTCGAATTAGCTTAGATACAAACAGTCTAAAACACATCTTTTCTATTTCCTTTTCGTACCATTAAGAATATATTCACACAGACAAGTTTCGACCATGATTCGAATATCACTTTATTCCACCTCTCTCGCATCACGCTCTTATATACTTATACATGTACGATCGACCCGTATATTAATGTCGGCTAGCCGAAAGATCGGCCGTAGATCCTTCTCCATCAGGTACGTCCTTAAGGGCGCCTAATCTAATTGTAAGAGTCGAAATTCGACTATTAGAAAGTAAAAAATCGAGAGAGAATCAGGACACGAGAGAGACTTTAATTTTTTTTGCAAAGGAAAGAAATAGCCATACATGAGATGCTAAAACGGCAATTCTGTATTTAGCATCGTGTAAAAATCCGTTTTTGTCGATACCAATATCTGTTCATTGTTGCCAATCTTAATCAACTATATCGAGCCTCGTTACAGTTAGAACTATGATTTAAAAGAATCTATGCTAATCAGAATTAATGATCCAGACTGATCTCGAACTCACTGTGGATAAAACGAGCAATACAAACAGCCATGCAAACTATCGTACATGTCACAATCGCGCGTGATTATTGCTTCTAAAGTAGTTGCGTACTCCACTGAAATATCTCCTAACTAATCATCCATTGTAGCAGTGCATTTTACATAGACACGCGGTGTTTGCACAACATGTAGCTTACCACGGTAGACGCTGAAAAATCGCTAGTATCGAAAAAGCTTATTTAACATAACAGGCGAGACGATTGCACTCGGAAACATTTAAATCGCATACTTGAAGAATCCACGGAGTCCTATTCCCTAACATAATCATGCTTATAGCTAGCTCTACACGTACTATTACAGATTCGTATTGATCTTTGCGTTCGCCGAAACGATCGGAAGTCTCGCGTACTCGATCTCTCGTTTGGTACTCTTAGGAATGGCAAACAGTAATCATGATCTTAAAAAAGATATATCTTTTGTATCACGATTTTTGCAATACTGTATTATTGAATACAAAATGCTAGGATTTGATATGAATTTATTATGAGTTTGTCCTGATAGTTTCTCTATTTTTCACTTATATTATCTTGTATCGACTAGTGTGATTTAACATAAACATGAATTTAATTTTTGATAAAATGCGATATGATTAAAAGTCTCTAGCTATTTAATTTCGCGATAAGTGATTGATATTTAATAAATGAATGATATTTGAAATTTTTCGAAACCTGCTTAAAAAATTGCATAAGATGCTATTAATTTCGCTCAATAGCGGTCATGAATCATCAAGCTACAACTTGATTTACTAACTAATCGAAGATATGCATGTGCCTTAGCTTAATGTGATATTGTGCTCTCTTTCTCTCTCTTTCTTTCTCTTTTATAATTGATAATATATGGAAGTTAGAAACTTGGATTTCCCGTGCAGAGCAATGTCATGAAGAACATGGGAACTGTATGTATTTAACTAGTTGTCACTGTGATTTGCAAATTAAGCTTTGCCACTGCTACTCGATAGGAGATGATAAATAAATCAATCAGCGATAACGAGAGCTAATCGATCTCGAGACCGCACTATGCAAGCTCGTCGAGAATATATACGAGCATGCCGTTGAAGTAAGAGATGGTACTACTACAATTCAACGAGCTGTCAAAAATATCTGCACTTAAATTGTTGAGAATAAGTATACGCAAATTGATGAAAAGCTAAAGATAAATTCACGATTTTTCGATGATATATATACTGCCCTATCGTTCACAATTTTATTTCTTACGCAAAATTGTAAATTTCTATATAGCTTGCATCTGTATGAATATTTTTTAATTAATATTCTGAAAATATTTGATTTTTAAATGCATGCATAATTTCAGTATATATATTGTCTTTCAATTGTAAATTCATACAATATTGTTATGTGCATCTAAAATTTAAAAAAAGCATCACCGTAATTAATAGCTAGTTAAAATATTGTATATTGAAGTTTTTCTTAAAAAATATTGATCTTTAAATTAATTTGACTTTACATCTCACAATCTTGTTTTTACGTTTATTTTATAGGGCAATATATAAGAAAATGTATTATTTGAAAAAAAGAAATCAATATTATATGAATTTTTGTATGATGATCGAAAGCGATGAGGCTTTTAAAAAACGCGCGTATATTTACGGATTGATGAAAATCGCGCTTCGTGCCCTCGAACGGGAGTTTGTAGCCAACAATTGGCAAGTCACGCACACTCGTTTCGTCGAGTCGAATATGCCTTAGGCATTTAAATTGTCTTCCTGTCATTACATGCGATGCCTACCGAGGCTGACCATCGTGCAACGTAAACGAGAAGTACGATTCGTCGTTAGACGTGTATACGCGAAACATATTCCCGATTGGAACAAAAATAAGAGACAAATCTATAATTTATAAGGCCTATTTTTTTATTTACATTTTTAATTCGCGTTAGCGATGAACATATTGATTACCGTATATAAAATACGTATAACAAAAGTGAATTTCTACAAATTTTACTCTAAAGTACATGTATATAATATATGCACAAATAATACTTTAATAAAAATTTTTGTTATAGAACAAATATAAAGAGAGAGAGAGAGAGAGAGAAATATTAATTATATAAGAATGCGCGTGTGAATGTGATTATAAAAATATTTTTTGATAACTTAAGAGTGTGTTGTTTATTATTTAAGACGGTCGTAGAGTCAATGTGTTGCAATCCTTATAAATTATAGATTATCCTTATAAATTATGCCATTTTTGCATTCG